TTTGCATTTGCCTCACTAGTTTTCAGAGCTGGCAGCCCGCCACCTTGGACGTATCTGTTGGTTTGCTTTCCCAAGAGGAAGTGTTCCTAAATCTACCATATTCCTTCAGTCTTACAGTGGCACTTAGGACATTTAGAGCATGGTAGCTTAGTAGCCTGACTGCCTAAGTTTGAATCCTAGCTTTACCACTTACTGTCCTGTGAATCTGAGCAAGTTATTTCATGTTTCTATGCTTCTGTTTCCTCATCTTCAGGATAAGCCTATTTGGAGTCTTACCTTATGGGGTTATTGGAGAATGAACTGTTGCCTACATGTGCGGTAGCCAGTCTCCAAAATGGCTGTCGAGAACCTCCCTTGCTGGTATCGACATAGTTGTTAGGGCCTTCACACTAGCGCTAGGGAGTAGCGCTAGTCTGTGTACTGGATGAGATACCACGAAAAGGATGGTGTGTGCCTTCTGAGGTAGGTCATAAAAGACATTGCAAGCCCTGGCTGGTGTAGCTCAGTGGATTGAGTGCAGGCTGAGAACCAAAGCATTGCAGGTTTGATTCCCAGTCAGGTCACATGCCTGGGTTGCAGGCCAAGGGCCCCAGTAACTGCACATTGATGTTTCTCTCTTTCTTTTTCCCTCCTTTCCCTCTCTAAAAATAAATAAATAAAATATAAAAAAAAAGACATTGTGGCTTTTGCCTCCCCCTCCTGAATCACTCACTCTAGGGGAAGCCAGACTCCATGTCACTAGGATGCTCAAGCACTTGATGGAAAGGCTCCACATGTTAAGGGCCCCTAGTGCTGAGTTCTAGGCTCCTTTTTACACCCCACTGTTCCAGTTATCTACTGTTGAATAAGAAATGTATTATTTATTGTACCTGGTGGGAAATTTTTTTTTTCATTATGCTCCTGGGCTTTGAGAATCTGGAATTCCAGCAGGACACTATGGGGATGGTTTATCTCTGCTCCACTATGTCTGGGGCTTTAGTTGGAAAAATTAAAAGCCTGGGGTGACTTGACAGCTGGGGGCTGCACTATTACTACTGTGTCTGGCAGTAGATGCTGGATTTTGGCTGAGCTCTTCCATGTGGACTCTTCATGGAGATTGGATATCCTCATAGTGTGATGATTGGGTTCCCAAGTGAGCATCCCAAGAGGCAGAGGGTGGAAGTTACCAGTTTCTTAAGGCCTGAGACCAGAAAGTGAGCCAGCATCACTTTTGCCACATTCAATTGGTCAACCCATCAAAAACCCCAGATTCAAGGGAAGGATACATCCTACCTCTGGATTGGAGGCACATCAGAGAATGTGAGGGACATTATTTAAAACTGCTGTACTGCCCTGGCTGGTATGGCTCAATGGATTGAGTGCCAGCCTACAAAACAAAGGGTTGCTGGTTCAAGTCCCAGTCAGGGCACATCCCTGGGTTGTGGGCCAGGTCCCCAGTTGGGGGCATGCAAGAGGCAACCTGGCAACCACACATTGATGTTTCTCTCCCTCTCTTTCTCCCTCCCTTCCCCTCTATCTGGAAATAAATAAAATCTTTTTTTTAAAAAATGCTATACCTACAGCAGTCTCCCCTGTTGCTGAGGGGCTCAGAAAGAGCAGCCCTGCCCTGGCGGGCTGCACTCTGGTGAGTTGGCCTTATGTGCACAGAAGAGAAACAGTAATCTACCAGCCTCCTGTGCTACGTGCTCAGGAAGAGCTTCCATGGGGAGGATATATCACAAGGGTTCAGAGGAGGGGCTGGAGTTGTCAGGAAGCCTCCTGGCATCTACTGTGTGCCAGGCACTTGGGAAACAAAGACAAAACTTTAAATAGTGGCTTTATAGGGTAGTGGATGGAGTAGAGGGAAGATGTGTAAAGAAACACTACGAGCCCTGGCTGGTGTAACTCAGTGGATTGAGCTCGGGCCTGCGAAGCAAAAGGTTGCCAGTTCCATTCCCAGTCAGGACACATGCCTGGGTTGTGGGCTGGGTTCCCCAGTGAGGGGCACGCAAGAGGCAACCACACATTGATGTTTCTCTCCCTCTCTTTCTCCCTCCCTTCCTGTCTCTCTAAAAATTAAAAAAATAAATAAAATAAAATCTGAAAGAAAGAAAAAGAAAGAAAATGACCTGATCCAATAGTTGCCACATGAAAGATGTCTACAGCAGGGACAATCTATACTACTGCTTCAGGGGCTCGGTGAAAGCTTCCCAGAAGAAGTGGTGTCTGAAGGAGTAGGGCATCCCAGGCACAGGAACAAGCCTGGGCAAAGGCAAGGAGACAGGAGAAAACAGTGGCCAACTAGGAGTGATTCAGAGTGACTGTGGGTGGGCAGAGCTAAGAGAATCAGGCTCCAGGGACACACTGGGGTCGGGTTCTGAGAAATCTTACAAAGACAGATCACAACTGGTGAGAAGTAAGCAAGTGGCATGAAAGGAAGAGGATGTCCATGATATGCTGGCACTGCCATTAAGCCTGGGAGAGATCACAAGAGGGTGGTGGGGCCAGGAAGGAAGGTGAGTTTGTACATGTGGAGTCTGAATGCCCGTGAGGCAGTGAAGTGGAGATTCCAGGTTGATCTGTGTTTGGACAGGTCTGCCCTGAGGACCAGATAAGACAAGGGAGCTGCTTGCTCATGGAGAGCCTTAAATGTCAGGGTCAAGGGCCAAGACTATATTCTGTAGGTAAGGAAGAGCTAGGAACTAGGGAAGTTTTTTCTTTTTTTCTTTTTTGAATCCTCACCTAAGGATATGTTTTAATTGATTTTCAAGAGAGAGAGAAACCTCGAATGGTTGCCTCCAATGTGCACCCTGGTCAGGGAGCAAACCTGCAAGCCACATATGTGCCCTGACTGGGAATCAAACGCACAACCTTTTGGTGTACGAGATGAAACTCCAACCAACTAAGCTACCTGGCCAGGGCTAGGGAAGATTTCAACTAAGAGATTATAATGGCTAATGATTAATGAGGGCTCGTTATATGTTGGGCACAGTCCCAAGTATTTTATATGAACTTATTTGGACCTCACAGTAATCCTGTAAAGTGAGTACCACTGCATTTCACTGAATTTAAGATGTCATCAATTGTAATATATACCATTATGCCATGGCATGTCTTCAATTTAAAATGGACTCTTCAGAGATGTTAAAATGTAAACAGGAAAAATAAGGCCATAGAATCAGTGAAACACACAATCTGCATTTAAAATATGAAGAATCAGGAATCAAGAAGATAAATAACTCGCCCAAGATCCACTAAGAGACAGAGCCAGGATTTGAAGCTCCACTCCAAAACCCAAATTCTTAACCATCATTTGGTGCTCGACAGGAGGTTGTGAGCATGTGGAGTTTTAAGACCAGTGTGGTTGCTTAGGGTGCAATGAATTTGAGGGGAGGAGGCAAAGTCAGGTGGCATATTTTGGAGACAAGTTATCGTGAGAGAGTTCTAGAGCGGGCTGGGCGCCATAGGGTGGGAAGAGGGGACAGATCTGGTAGTGGTCCTTCATGAATAGGTAGAAGTGGTTGATCCACTGCATGCTGAGTGTGAAAACAAGGACAGCTCCCGTATGTTGAACCTGGAAAAAAAGGTACAGCATAAGAGAGTGCGAGGCAGCCAGTGCAGCCCAGAGGACAGCTGTGCTGCCTGGGCAGCAGGGAGGAGCAGCTGCCCACCCCAGCTTGGGCAGTGATGCTATCTGGCATGTGGTGGGCACTCACTAAGTACTTACTTGTCAAATGAGTGGATGAATGAGTTGTATGATCTTGGGCCAGTTGTAAAATCTTGCTGTATGATCTCTGGGTCGTGTGTGTGTGTGTGTGTGTGTGTGTGTGTGTGAGAAATGCCGGGTTTGGACTAGAACATGTAAAACAACATGAAAGAGCCCCTCCTGAAAGGCGTAGGCATTTCTCTCCCCATCCCAGGACCTTTATGGGTACACCCTAACCAGTGGTTCCCACCCTGGCTATAAGTTAGATTGGCCCCATACAAGACCACTAACTTCAGAATCTCTGAAGATGGGATCCAAGCATGGGTAATTTGTAAAGTTTCCCAGGTGACTCCAATGTGCAGCTTGTTGAGAACCTTGACCCTGGAGCCTCTAAGTACCCAATCTGAAAACTACTGAGCCAGGTGAGGGCCAGGATCCCTTCTGGGGCTAGGCCCTGTGGTTGGTGACAGGTGTCTCTTTTCTCGTCCCATCTCTCATCTCCCAAACCCAAACTCCTGACAGCCAGGGGAAGAAACACCAGGCTTTCTCAACCACATACTATCGATGTTTTGGAATGGATAATTCCTTGCTGGAGAGGACTCTCCTGTGCATTTCAGGATGTTGAGCATCCCTGGTCTCTACCCACTAGATGCCAGTAGCATATCTGCCCCCAATCAAAGCAATCAACAATGTCTCCAGATGTCACCAAATGTCTCATGGGGTGCAAAATCCCCCCGGTGGAGAACCACTGTGCTCATTGAGTTTCCTGTCCTCCCTCCCGCCCCAGTCGCAGACAGAGCCCAGGCAGGGGTGGAGGCCATTTCACAACAAGTTTAGTTGGGCCTGGCAGGAGGGAAGCCTTTGTGGGAGGCCAGGGCTTCACAATGTTAAATGGAGGGAGAGCATGCCAGCAGACTTACTAATGTGGTCTCACTCAGAGAGGGAGGGAGTTCTCCAAAACACTCATTCCCGGATTCCCAATCAGTCACAGGAGAGCCAAGAGTAGCTTCCGGGGCAAACAGCCCCCCGCTTTACGGGAACAGGCAGAAAGGGGTGTGGGAGTGGCAGTGTGTGCGGAGGGGATTCTTTCCTTCTGTAGATATTTTCCTGGCATTGGTGACTGCCCTATCTGATTGGGTGAGGGCAGGCAGGGAGAAACTTTCCAGCTGTGGCTGCCCGGGTTCCTGGAGGCCCTCTGACAGTGGGATTGTAAGAACATCTGAGTTTCAGAGTCTGGAAGACTGAACCTCTGCGGCTGGAACCAAGGGGCTGGCTGCCCCCCTCAAGGGAAGTGGAAGTTGTGGGGACACCTCCCTTACAGCTGGAGGCTGGGATCTGTTAGCATCTTCATAAGTCCCTTTTTACTTCGAGGAGGTGGAACCTGAAGGAAGATGGAGGTGGGAAGTCTGGGAAGGGAAGGGAGGGGGACTGACTGGAAAGAGGAAGGATGGGTGGTAGAAGGTACTGGATGGGTCAGAGGCAGTGAGACTATTTCCTGCCCTTATTCCCCAACTCACTCCACCACAAGGCTCAGGACACCCACGACCAGGACAGTTCCAAAGACAGAGAGGAGCAGAATCCTGGCTTCCCAAAGATCGTGACTTCCTGCGGGGAACCCAGGAAACAATGAAAGAGGACCCCACCGTTGACACTGGGGGAGCTTGGGAGCTCAGAGATCTGGGTGACGTGAGGCAAGGTGGAGGGAGAGTAAGGACCTGGAAAGCAGCGTTTTTGGGGCCAGCAGTGCACTTCAAAACCCTGGCAGGTGGAACAGTTGTACAGGATGGTGCTGCCCCCTGCAGGAGACAGCAGGACCAGAGCTGGGAAGGGGAAGCCCAGACTCCACCCTTCCGGAGGATCCCACTTGCTCCTGCTAACTGCCAGGCTCTCCTCAGGTACCCTGTCCTCGCTACCCTTTTCTTTTCTACTCACAACAGGCAGGAGTGCAGAGAGCTGAAATAAAAGACAAGGAGGGGTGGGCATAGATGAACAGTTTAGCTACATAGCCCTTTGCCCAAGATCCTAGGCACCCCTTGATCCTTCCCCCCATCAGTACCTTCTCTGGTGTACTCAGGGAGCTTGGTCTTTTGAAGCCATTGCCAATATAAAGGGAGTGAAGAGAAAGACTTTTTGATCTCTGGGGAGGCAGAGAGCAGCCATTTTGCCCAGGGCCACAACAGCACCAGTTGACTGCCACCCTTTCACCCAGCACCTCCCCAGTCATGCCTTCCTGTCTCCACTGGCCCTCTTTCCTTCCCTGCCTGCCCAGCTCCTCCCTCCCATGCCCTGCCTTGGTTCCCATCCAAGCCCCTTGATTGAGGTTCCCCAATGACCTCACCCATGACCCTCAGGACTCTGTGAGTCTTCTCTGTGACTTTGTTCATGGACACCTCATCTGTGGAGATGGGCAAGGACCAGGGAGTTCCTCACCAGCCCAGAAGATTCTTGACTTTCCCAAGGTCCAAAGAAGCTCTCCCAGAGGGAGAGGTCAGTGAGCCTAGGGAGGGCTGTGGACTGAGGTGACAGCTGAGGACACATCTGGGAAGTCACATGTTACTTCACTTGGGGCATGGGGTTGACTGTTGATGGGCTCGTCCCTGGATGTCCAGACTTACCTAAGGCAAAGGCTGAGAAGTTCCAGGAGGCCTCACAGTCCTTCCACTGGGCCTCCATCTGGCTACAGAGCCATGCCAGGCGGCCCGACAAGTCACGGGCTGGGAGGCGGCAGAAAACACAGGCCCGGGCAGCTGCCAGGAAAGCCCCACCCAGTACCAGCATCCACATGAAGCCCAATGGAGGGTGCTGGAGGGAGGGAGCTGGCCCTACCTGGGCTATGAAGGCTCTGTGATCCTGGTTCTAGCCCTTTGCCTGGAAGTTGCAGAGTGTTCCAGAACAGCTGGAGGTTCTAGAGCATTCCAAAATAGTGTCACTGCTCTATTCCTGGCTGGGGTAAATCTGGGCCAAAGGAACTGAGGACCAGGAGAAGACATCTCTAATAGGAGAGGGGCAGAGAAAGCAGGACTCCTGCTGCAAGAGAGACAGCACCCCCAACATGACCCTCAGCAACCTTTACAAGTTTGTGGTTCCAAAAGCAACTTTATTTTTCTTCTTGTAAGTGATAAATAATAAGTGACTCCCAGAGAAGTTGTTCATGATTATTCCATCTCTTCAGCGATGCAGAAATCCTATCCCTTCCCATATCCTCCCGACTCTCCCAAACTCTTCCATTCAGCTCCTCTCTGCCTTGGGCAGACTTGGGTCCTTCTTCAGCAATCTCCTAGCAACAGGCCTATGGTTGCCTTAGCAACCAAGAATGCTATAAAGGCCTCCAAGGCCCTGCTAAGCCCAGTGACTTCTCTTACCTCTCTCACCAGGAAGATCCTAGTGACTCAAATCCCAACAGGCCCCGCCTGCATATGTGGTAATGTAAATGCACATGTGTGTGTAAACACACATACCACTTGTGGTTAAGCTATTAATTCTCAGTCTACTCACACCCATAGACACACCTGGTGCCCAAATAGTTTCTCAACCCCGTACAGGCCTGGACATGTAGAGACCACAGAAAGGCCAGTACACATACCATCGCCAGCAACACAGATCGGAGCCAGGACATCAGAGGCTCACACATCAGTCAGATGCATGCTGACACACACGCACACATGAAGGAAGTAAGGCCAAGACCCAAGAAGATGCCACCCTCCTCCCCATGGCCAGCTCCACCATCAGTAAAACAGATTCTTTAAAACACTTCGATCTCCAGAGGAATGCTCTATCCCATAGTTAGTGGGGATTCTCCTAGATCCCTTATGCCAGCATAGAGTGGCATGTAGCCTGTCTCCCTCATAGTGGCTTGGGACACAGCAAAGAATCTCCCTTCCCATGTTCCAGAGTGTTCTGGCCTGTCATTGGTCAGGCCAGGCCACTCAGCTCCAGAAGGAGAAGTCACAGTCCAGGAGACCACATTAGAACAATGCAAAGTTCCTCTTCCTCCCAGACCTCAGTGTCCCTGCAGGGTTCTGCTAGGCCTAGCATAGGCAGAGAAATGTCCCCACTTTTCCAGACCCCTGAATACTGAGCTCCAACCAAGGTCTCCAGCCTCAGGTGAAAACAAGCCAGGGGAAACTTTCCCACCCCTTCCAGCATTAGCACCAGTTCATACCCTCTGTAGCACTTGTGAGCCCTTTGCGGGCTTGGGTGTGGGGAATCCTGTCCACATCTGGGCTCCAGTCAGGTGCAGTGGGACCTGTGGCTCTCATAGCCCCTAAAGCAGAGCTAGGGGGAGGCTTCAGGGAAAATTTGTCCCCTTTGCTGCTCCCTTCTTTCCCCCTCTACTCCCCTAGAGTCAAACTAAGGGCAGTATTTGCTGTTCTCAGCTCAGTGCCGGACAAAGCGCAGAGATCTGGAGTTGAGCAGGTCTTCAGGGTCAGGGAAAACAGAGTCTAGCCGGAAGCTGTGCTCCAGAGCCACCCGCAGCACCTCCTCCAGGAAGCCCGGAGTGCCCACCACTTCCCGTCGTTGTCCTGGCCCCCCAGTCCACAGTGGCTGCAGCCCCAGTCTCCTGTATTCCACTTCCGGCAGTTCCATGGGGCGGGGGGCCCACTCCAGACGAAAGTGTGGTCCTGCCTCTGCCCTCTCCTCACTGGCCACACCAAATCGGGCCTTCATGGCACCCAGACACTCTGGGTCAGTGCAGAAGAGGTTGGCCTGGAAGACATCCACCTGGGCAGAGCTCAGCTCATAGTGATGTGGGCCCTGGCGAGCAGAGAAGTGCACCAGACGGGGGCTAGCATCTACATCGGCGTGGAGCAGGGCAGCTGTGGGTGCAGGGGCACCCTGAGAAGCTTCCAGTTCCTGCAGAGCATCTAGGAGGGGCTGGATTTGGTAGAAGTCAGCCTCCGCCCTGAGAAGCGCTGTCTCCCCATATCCTAGGGGCAGGTCCAGGCGGCCCAGCCGCAGGAAATTGAGAATGTGCCGGAAGGCTTTTCCATCTCGGTCTATGAAGTAGTAGCCCCCTCCTTGGGGGTTGAGGCTGGGGGGAATGGAAGTGCCAGCCCTAAACATGGCTCCCAGCATGGAGTCTGGGAAGCGAGTCAGGGTCTCCAAAGTAGTGGAATATAATGTGCCCCCCACATTCAGGGTCACGGGGCCCCCAAAGGAGGGGGGTGAAGAGGGCACAGGAGGGGGGGAAATTTTGGGGAGTACTGGAGACACCGAAAGAGAAGAAAAGGCAGAACTTCCTGGGTGTGTGCAGAACTGGGTTGTAAGTTTCAGACTCTAAGCTGGAGGCACTGGCTGGAGAACAAGGCAGCAAGATTTCGGGCGCACCCCAGCTACCTTGGTGGTGCGGGATGTCTTCCGGTCACAGAAACGCCCGAAAGGTTTAGAGGACGGATGAAAAGAGCACAGGAAAGACCACGAAGAAGAGAGGTTTAGGTCCAGACGCATCCAGTTCTAGGTGGTCTGCGATTCCTTTCTGTGGTCTTTAGATAGTGGCTTTCCGGAATCCAACCAGCAGGTGACGGTCGAGTATAAGGCTGACTCTTTAAAGGGTCCAGCTTCCAAGTTCTCGGGCAGATCGCTGCCTCTGTGAGCGAGCCCCCGCAGGGTTCCGGGGCACCAGACACTGGCCTGGCCTTGGCCTGGCTCCGGCGCGGGTTCCAAGAGATGGAGGCGGGGCTCCCTGGAGCTGATGCCGGAGGTGCCCGCTGGGGAGCAAGGATGCACCCTAAGTGGTAGCTGCGATTGTCCAAGGACTCTGATGGAAGCAGCCGGGAGTCTCGGACTCAGGCGCCGCCGCCTTAACGCCTTACTGGGGTTCCTCGGCAGCTGTTGAAGTCCTCTCAGCCCCCAGGAAGTGGCTGAAGGGCTGCAGCCCCTGGTCCTTTAAGAGACAGCTCCGCCCACCGCCCCCGTGGGGCACGCAGGGCTGGGGTGGAGGTGGGAGCTGAGAGCAGCGAACTGGAGACACTGGGAGGGCAGGCTGGGCTGGGGACGCAAGCGGGGGTGGGGTCCGGAGGGTGACTCCGGCGGCGCCGCCGAGTCACGTCACTCCGGATGTGGCTGCAACGGCTTCACGGGTCTCAGGTGTGCCCGACTTCACGTCTGCAGCTCCCTGGGGGCGGGAGTCCCCAATCCCGCCACTCTGAGGAAACAGAGGCGCGGCCTTCCAGGGCTTGGGAACTGGCAGTTTTCTTCTCTTTCCCGTGGGGAATTTCTGAGGGGGCGGGTGCTGAACCACTGCATTCCGGGGAGGTTTCTGGGTCGGGGTGGCCGAGCCAGCCTCTCCAGCCCGGCCCGACGCCAGCTTCCCTAAGAGCCCCACCCCAGGGCCGCCCTGTGCTAGGGCTGAAGCCGCAGCTTCCACTCCACTCTCTGGGAGTCACCCTCAGTGTGATTCCAGCTGGAAAACTCGCTTCCATTCTGCATCCAGGAGCCACAGCGCCCAACCCCCTGCGGGTCCAGAGGTGGCGCCCAATAAATGAACTACGAAGGGAAGAGCAAAGCACAAAGCTTTTAATGGCCACAGGCTGGTGGTGGGTTAGGAAGGGTGCCGGACGCAGGGCCTCAAAGGCCTGGAATCAAAGCGTGTGGAGGTCGTAACTACGCCGGCTCAGCTTCTCTGGGTCGTCAGATGCCATGAGGGAGAAGTCACGGAAGATGTCCAGATATGTCTCGTCTCCTGAGGGGAGGGAGGAAGGGTTGGGAGTGGGGACAGCTGGGCCCCTAGCTTAGGGGAGTATGCTGGGAACAGCAGGTGAAGGAGACACCTGAGCTCTCAGGGCACGGCCCTTGCCTTTTCTGTTTTGAGGCTCTGGTGTGTGGAATATGCACAATACATATGTATTTACTGAGTAAATACTAGACTTAACCAGTGAAGCTGGACATGAGGGGTACAGGTCACCAGGGGCCAGAAGCCCAGAGTTACAATGATGAGCCTGGTGAGGGTGGGGTAGAGGTACTTTACCTGCCTGGCCCTGGGCAGCTTCGACCTCCCTCATCTTTGCCAATCGGAGCCTAAAGGGGAGGGAGTTAAGGAATGAATGACAATCTAAAGCACACCAACCCCCACCCCCCCAACTTCCTATCCTTTGATCTGGGCTGTTTATTCATCTGTTCACCTAACAAAGTTGATGAATGGTGACTCTCAGGATGAGCTCACCATCCTTGTACCCTGCCCACCCCATGCCTACTCCACACCCCAATCAGCACTTGGAGCATCCTGTTAATTGCCTGGGCCAAGAGCTGACCCCTCCCTTCCCCAGGCTTTCCTTGGCAAGTTGGGTTCTTGGGCATTAGCCACACTCATTTGAAAGGTACAAACACTAGCCCCGCCCCTCCACATCCTTACAGGGTAACGATGTCAGCATTGGCTGTTTCCATGGCAATGGTCAGAGGGTCTCTGCCTTCAGAGTCCTGTGCTCCCAGGTCAGCTCCCCGTTTCAAGAACAGGCAGGCCAGTCTAGAAAAGATAGCCAGATTCAGTCAGCAGCTCACCCTGTCCGGAACCTTCCTCCCCGAGGCTATCATCACTGCCACCCAGAGATGGGAGCTACCCAGTGTGGCCAAGGATGGTTGCGTGGTGGAGCGGCCCCCGGCCATGGCTGTCTGCTTGGTTCACATTTGCCCCGTTCTGCAGGAGAAACTCACAGGCCAGAAGAGAATTCTGCATAGAGAAGTGGAGAATGGGGAGAGAGAGTGGCATCTTTAGAGGCAGATTTATAGATTTTTAGAATGGGGTCAGTTCAGAGGGTGGGGTGTGGGATTAGTTTAGGGACACAGCTAGGTGTCTGGCTCTTTACATGTATCCATATATTACATCCACAGTACAACCTAATGAGGTATGGGATCCCTATTTTACAGATGAGGAAACTGAGGCAGACAGAGGTTCATAACTACAAGTGGTGAGAGCCTGGATTCAAACCCAGGTTGTCTGCCTCCAAATCACACACTCTTAGCAGTCTCTATTAGTTATCACTCCCTATGAGGTGGAGGGAGGGGTAAGAAAGTCAGAAGCAGGCAAGAAAAGGAGCCTTAGGGTGGGGTGGGGAGGTTAGCAAGACCCTCACAGCAGCTGTGGCCTGGATCAGTGGCGTGGCATTCTCCCGACTCGTGTTGACCCAGTTGACATCAGCTCCATGGGCAAGGGCATCAGCCATGGTGGGGAGGGAGGGAGGATGCCCAGCAGCTCGAAACAGCAGGGCCCCAGGGTGCAGGCTAACCAGGTCATCAGAGGGTGGTTCTGTTAGGGGGAATCAGCTTTGAGTCTGGGAAGAAAACCTTCAGCAAAGGCCCCCTGATGCAGTAATGGGGTAGGTCCCTTCTCAGTTATAGGGAGGCCTTCAAGATTCTTGGGACTGTTGTGGGAAGTGGAGGTGTGTGTGAGTATGGTGCGGGGCCCCTAGGGCTAGAGAGCATCAGTTCACCTCTTCTTGTTTAACCACCCTGACTGGCTGGAATGTTGTGGGTGGCTTGACTCACTGAAGGTTCACCTCAGCTCTCTTGGCTCCCTCTGCTCTAGCCAAGCACACCACCTTCACAGGCCTTTAGAGACCCTAGCCCATTCTCACTTCTGACTTTTCTCATGGGGATGACACCCTTACACAGCCTCCCTGCCTATTTCCAGCTCCATGATCCTTCCCACTCTTCACTGTAACCCCCAGATCTCTCACCTTCTAAAACCAGTGCTGGTGTGGCCTGGCTCCCCCAACACTCTCAAAGGGGCAGGCCTGGGCCTCACGCTCTGAACCACCTCACCAGGCTTGGCATAGTGCTTAGCACATAGCAGGTGTACAATGAATGCCCAACCAACCCTATACCTTTCTTGGATCTGAAGCTCCCTGGCCGGGGCTTAATGGAAGGCTTTGGGGGCACAGGAGGCTGTCCCCTTGGGGGCCCTCGGCCACCTCTTCGCCCTCGAATCTCAGGAAGCTTGGTCAGGAACTTCTTCTCCACATATTTGGCATGAATCCAGGCCTCCTTCTCCTGCCTGGAGGGGAGAAGAAGGGGACAGTCTAACCTCCTCCCATGCCAGGCCCCCTTCCCTTCCCGAAAAGGGGGCAGCCCCAGCCCCTCCCTGCAGCCTCACCGGGAGCAGCTGGGCCCTGGCTTCTTCACGGCCATGGCTTCCACACGGGCCTCATAGATCTGGTTGATGACTACGTTTCCCAGCTCGCACATAAGCTTCAGGCACCAAGGCAGAGGCAGACAGTTAGGTAGGGTGGGGGTGGCACCTGAGCCCTTAGGGCTCTGCAGCCCTGTCCTCACCCCACCCTACCCCCAACTTTTCATAACATCCCAAGTCACCTTCACTAGTTCCGGCTCCCACGAGTCAAGTGTCAGAGACCGTACTTTGGAGAAATGAACTCCAAGGCTCCTGGAGGACCAGAGTGGAAGTCAGGCTCTGTGGGAGGCAGCAGCTGGGGGAGCTGCCGCTGCACCTGAAAAGACTTGGAGACAAGACCCTGCATGGGGGCTGCGTAGAAGCGCTGGGTCAGGAGGCAGCAGGGCAGCGGGGGCCATGTAGCCTTGACCTGCATCTGGCAGGATCCTGTCCTTTCACTACCCCCTCTCCCTTCTTCTCCTACAAATCATTTTAAGGGCCTCATCCCCTCCACTCACCTCCCTTCTTTCTTGGCACTTTGGCCTAGACAACTCTTTCCCACCATTCCCCTTCCCTCCTACCAGACTGACTCAGGGTGAGGGCCATAAAGACTTGCCTTACAATCTCTCCTCTCTGCTCTTCATTGGCTCACCCACCCTCCGCAGCCTTGACCCCACACCTCCTCCAATCAAGCCAATAAATTACTCTGGGTATTCCCCAACCCTATCTAGACCGGGACACTGAGAGGCTGGCCCACCTCCACCTGTGCCCCACAGGCTTGGGCCAGGCCTGTGCCCAGTGACAGCCAGAATCTAGGGGAGGAAGCCAGGGCAAAGCAAGAAAGGAGGAGCCTGGGCAATGGGCTCTATCTTGGTTCCCCCCCACCACTGCAGTTGGAAGGAATGGGGCCCATGCTTGGGGACTTGGGCAGTGACCTGTGGATGCCGGAGCACTGAATGCAGAGGGTGACACCAAGGTTGATGCTGGCCCACTCAGGGGCTGGTTCCCGGCAGTCACAACACTGGGCATTGCCGTCCACACTCTGCACCTGGGCTGCCACATGCCCCACTCCGCCAGGTTCCCTTCCCCTGGTCATCCCGCCAGAGCCCAGGGTGGCAGCAGAACCGATGACCAGGTGTCCTAAGCCCTGGGGCAGACAGGAGAAGAAAGAGTGGCTCTGGGGCCTAGGGCAAGGGCTATCCTAGCCCCTGGGAAGCCTGGCCCTGAACCGCCATGTTAAGGTACCTGGCCTGGACCCCGGGGGCTATCATCAAGGTGAGCCTGGCTGAAGGCCGTGGCAATGCTGCTCTGCACAGCACTGATCCACAGCTGTAGGAGGCGCTCCGAGTCAGCCTGTAGGAGGCAGGACCTGGGCAGGAAAGGGGACGGAGAGCAGGGAGGGGTCTGAGGCCTGGGGAGCCTGTGGTGGGATGGGCAGGCTGACATTCAGCTAGTATTCAACTGGTACCAGCCATACTGAAATATTTCTGCACCAGTAGGTAATATCCTTCTAAACACCCCCATCACCCTATACCCTCCCCTGACCCCCACTGCCCCAGGATCCAGCCACCAAAGGGTTAATGCCTGGGGCTGCATGTGGGGCCTCCAGATCCCTGTTCCAGGGATGTCTTTGTGATTGGCTCTACCTTCCCAGCTGGTAAAGATTTAGAGACATCAGAGCATTGCCCCTGGGGACTGCACTCACTTGCTGGGGGATACCACCTCAAAGCAGAACCGCCTTTCTGAGTCAGGGCAGAGCTTCACTGTGCAGAGACGCAGGTCTTCTACCACCACGGTCACAGGGTCCTGACAGGGGGAGGTGATATGGAGGCAGATATCCAGCCAGGAGCAGCAAGGGCTGAATGTCCCTGGTCCCGGGCCTCCAGCACCCAGCTACCCACCTTGTATTTCTTCTGATAAACCAGTTGGTTGCTCTGAATAGTAAACCAGCGTCTGGAGGGGGTGGAAGTAGAGTTTGGACATGGGCAGTGTTAGGATAGGGTTAGGACAGGGACAGCAGAGGGTCTGTGCCCTTTGCCCCATAAGGATCTTGCGGAGAGGAGAGAGATCTGGGTGGATGTCCCATGAGATGTTCCAGAGGAGGGTGGACAGTTGTGCAGACTGTCTAAAAGGTACTACTGTTTACATCTTGGACAACCCAGATTTGATATATTTATGAAAACAACTTTCTAGCAGATGACAGTAAAATGCTTTTCCTAATAAAGTAAATCCAGTGCTATAATTTCTTTTTGGCAAATGGCAGTATCTTGGGAAAAGG